ACACTAAAGCCAGACAAAGACACTATAAGAAAACTACAAACCAATATCTCTTATGAACATTGATGCAAAAATGCTCAACAAAGTACTAGCAAACCAAGTTGAACAGCACACTAAAAGGATTATGCACCATGACCAGTGGAATTTATTCTTGGAATGCAAGAATGACTCAACAAAAAACTCCATCCATGTAATAAATCAAATAAACAGAACAAAGAAAAAAACCCCACATGATATTTCACTTGATAGAGAAAAAGCTTTTGACAAAATTCAACACACTTTCATGAAATAAACACTCAGCAAAGTAGGAATAGAGGGAAACTACCTCAAAATGATAAAAGCCAAATATAAAAATTTCTCAATGAACACTTTACTCAATGGTGAAAGACTGAAAATATTTCCTCTAAGATCAGGAACAAGGCAAGGATTCCTTCTTTCACTTCTTTTCAAAATATTAAAATTTCTGGCCAGAGCAATTAGGCAAGAAAAAGAAATAAAAGACATCCAAGTTGGAAAGGAAGAAGTAAAATGACCTCTGTTGCAGATTATATGATCAGTTTTATATATGATTACGTGTAGAAAACCTTAAAAAGATTACACACACCCCAGCATAAATAATATAAATAATTTTGATAAAGCAGCAGGATATGGGGCGCTGGTGTGGCTCAGTCAATTAAGTGTCTTACTCTTGATTTTGGCTCAGGTCATGATCTCAGGGTTGTGAGACTGAGTCCCATGTCAGGCTCCATGCCCAGCACAGAGTCTGCATGCGTTTCTCTCTTCCTTTGCCCCTCCCCTCCATTCTCTAAATGAATGAATGAATGATTGAATGCATGCATGCATAAATAAATAAATAAATATTTTTAAAAAGCAGGAGAAGGGAGCTGAGGGAAGTTGGAAGGGGAGGTGAACCATGAGAGACTATGGACTCTGAAAAACAACCTGAGGGTTTTGAAGGGGAGGGGGGTGGGAAGTTGGGGGAACCAGGTGGTGGGTATTAGGGAAGGCACGTATTGCATGGAGCACTGGGTGTGGTGCAAAAACAATGAATGCTGTTACGCTGAAAAGAAATTAAAAAAAAAAAAAGCAGGATACAAATTCAGCATACAAATATCAGTTGTATTTTTATATACTAACAGTGAACAATATGAAAAGTAAGTTATAAATCAATTCCATCAGAAGGAATAAAATACCTAAGAATTAACTTAACCAAGAAGACAAAAGACTTATACAATGAAAACTACAAAACATTGCTGAAAGAAATTAAAAATGACACAAATAAATTGGAACACATCCCATATTCATGTATTGGAAATGTTAATATTGTTAAAAATGTCAATACTACCAAAAGTGATTTACAGATTCAATGCAATCCCTATCAAAATCCCATGATTTTTTTTTCAGAAATAGAAAAATCAATCGTAAAATTCATATGGAATCCAAGAGACCCCCCAAGGAGCCAAAATGATCCTGAAAAGGAGCAAAGTTGGAGGTCTCATACTTACTGTTTTCAAAGCTTACTACAAAACTAGAGTAACCAAAAAAGTATGGCATTGGCAAAAAGACACATATAGAACAATGGAACAGAATAGAGAGCCCAGAAATAACCCCTCACACATATGGTCAAGCAATTTTTGACAAAGGTACCAAGACCATTTAATGAGGAAAAGACAATATTTTCAACAATAGATGCCAGGAAAACTGGATACCCCTATACAGAAGAATGAACTTGGATTATTACCTAACACCATATATGAAAATTAACTTAAGATGGCTTAAGGACCTAAATGCAAGACTGGAAACAATAAAACTCTCAGAAGAATATATAAGACAAAGCTTCATGACATTAGATTTGGCAATGATTTCTTGGATAAGATACTAAAGGCACAGTTAAAAAAAAGAGAGAAATTACGGGCGCTTGGGTGGCTCAGGTGGTTGAGTAACCAACTCTTGGTTTCAGTTTGGGTCTTAATCTTGGAGTCAAGGGATCAAGCTCCCTGTTGGGCTCTGCGGTTGGTGTGGAGTCTGCCTGAGATTCTACCCCACTGTGTACCTCCACCCACCCCAGCTCACACTCACTCTTTCTAAAATAAATAAAATCTTAAAAAGAGAGGAAGAAATTGGACTTAGTGAAAATTTAAATATCTTGTGCATCAAAAGACCTATCTATGAGTAAAAAAGCTGCTCACTTATATGATTTGCAAGTCATATATCTGATAAGGAATTAGTATTCAGAATATAACAGCAAAAAAACCAACCTGATTCAAAAATTGGCAAAGGACTTGAATAGACATTTCTCCAAACATCTACAAATGGCCAATGAGTACATGAAAAAGTGTTCAACATCACTAATCACTAGAGAAAAGCAAACCAAAACTATAATGAGATATCAACTCATACCTATTTGAATGGTTTAAAAAAAAATAGAAAACAACTGTTGGCAAGAATGTGGACAAACTGGAATCTGTATGCACTTTTGGTAGGAATGTAAAATGGTATAATTGCTGTGGAAGCTAGTCATTCCTCAAAAAATTAAAAATAGAATTATATTATCCAGCAGTTTTACTTATGGGAATATATCCAAAATAATTGAAAGCAGAGTTTCAAAGAAATATATGTACACTGATGTTCATGGAAGCATTATTCACAAAAGGTGAAATGTGGAAGGAGTCTACATGTCTGTCGACAGAATGGATAAGCAAACTTGTGGCATATATATATAAAATTGAATATTTTTCAGCCTTAAGAAAGTCAGGCATATACTACAACATGAGTGAACTTTGAGTTCAATATACTAACTGAAATAAGCCAGTCACAAAAACACAAATGCTCCATGAGGCACATCATCAAATATGTAGGGACAGAAAGGATCCTGGTGGTTCCCAGGGGGAAGGGAGAATGGAAATTATTGTTTAATGGATAGAGTTTCAATTTTAGAAGATGAAAAGAGTTATGGAGATGGATGGTGGTGATGGTTGCACCAAAAATGTGAATGTGTTTAATACCATTGGGTAGGATGGTAAATTTAATATGCATGTTACCACATAAAAAAGACAATTAAAAAGAATATTTTTCAATTACTTTTGAAAACAAAGATCACAGAGTTTGATAACATACCACATAGGTGTGTATGTTATCAAATTGTATTATCTTTGCCAAAAATACTGAAGATGAACCTAAGTTTGTAGGAAACAAGAACTGAGAAACAAATTAAACACCATGGGGTGGGGGAGACAAATCCAGAAAACGAGATAGTCTGCAAATTAACTGGCCTGATGTCTTCATCAGTGTCATAGAAAAAAATGTATCTGGGAGAAAAGACTGTTCTTTTTTTTAAAGATTTTATTTACTTATTATTTGAGAGAGAGACAGTATGAGAGAGGGCGAGGGCCAGAGGGAGAAGCAGACTCCCCGCAGAGCAGGGAGCCTGATGTGGGACTCCAAGATCATGCCTGAGCTGAAGGCAGTCGCTCAACCAACTGAGCCACCCAGGCACCCAGAAAAGACTGTTCTAAGTGAAAAGAAATGTAAGAAACATGAAAACCATATGTTCTTATCCAACGAGACCACATGTTGGTATTTGGATCCTAGTTTGAACAAACAAGCTACAAAATAAATTTTGGGATAATTAAGAAATATTAAATGTAGACTGGACATTAGATGAATTAAAGAATTACACTCAATTTTATTATTATACAATTGGTATATTGATAAAGTTATTGTGATTATGTAGGAAAATGCCATATTTTGAATTTGTATACTTTAGTATTTAGGGGTAAAATGTCATGATGTCTGTAACTGACTTGAAAGTATTTTAGCAAACAAGAATAGATGAAGCAAATATGACAGCATATTAACTATTGTTAAGTCCAGGTGATGGCTATATAGATATTCATTCAGTATATTAATCACTCTACTTTTTTTTTTAAGATTTTATTTATTTATTTGAGAGAAAGAGTGAGAGAGGGCATGAGAGGGGAGAAGGTCAGAGGGAGAAGCAGACTCCCCACAGAGCTGGGAGCCTGATGAGGGACTAGATTCCAGGACTCTGGGATCATGACCTGAGCCAAAGGCAGTCGCTTAACCAACAGAGCCACCCAGGTGCTCCAATTGCTGTACTTTTTTGTGTATTTCAAATTTTTCATAACAAATGTTAAACACATACACTGAGTAATGCTGCAGTGAAAAACCTGGTACATACTTCACATGCTCTATAAATCACTCTAAGGTCAGTACTAAGTCGAATGCTAGGCGAAACGGGAAGACCTAGAACAGTATTTTTCAAACTGCAGACTGCGACTTTCTAGTCATTCCTAAAATTGGTTGAAGGGGATCAAGACCAGTGATTTATTTTCCTTCCTTCCTTCCTTCCTTTCTTTCTTTCTTTCATAAAGATTTTATTTATTTATTTGACAGAGAGACACAGAGAGAGAGGAAACACTAGCAGGGGGAGTGGGAGAGTGAGAAGCAGGCTCCCCGCTGAGCAAGGAGCCCGAGGTGGGGCTTGATCCCAGGACCCTGGGATCATGACCTGAGCCGAAGGCAGACGCTTAACGGCTGAGCCACCCAGGGGCCCTAAAATTCTGTTTTTTACTATAACATGTATGCAAAAAGTTTAATAGGTATTTAATAATATTATCCTTTTTTAAAAAAGATTTTATTTTTAATTATTTATTTGACAGAGATCACAAGTAGGCAGAGAGGCAGGCAGAAAGAGAGGAGGAAGTAGGCTCCCTGCTGAGCAGAGAGCCTGATGCGGAGCTCGATGAGGGGCTTGATCCCAGGACCCTAGGATCATGATCTGAGCTGAAGGCAGAGGCTTTAATCCACTGAGCCACCCAGGCACCCTTTTAATAGTAATTTTCCACCAGAAGTCACTAATAATGGGGCCATCTCAGGTTTCAAGTTAATTTCTCTTAAATCTCTTTGATGATGCTTTGTTTGCTGATTATCTGATGGATGACCCAGACATGTTCTCATTTTCTTTGTTTTGATTTTTCTAGTAACTATGACTGAAGTTTTACCAAAGGAAAAGAAACAGAAAGATGAGAAGACCTTAATTCTTGGTCAGGCTGTGGTGGACCTTCTTCCTTTACTGGAAGGTCAGATGTGTGAGTTGCTCAAAAGCAGATATAGGAAAGCTCATGAAATTTAGCTCCATAGAAGTGCAAAAATTGGCCTCAGTGATTTGAGGGATTTGATAAAAAGATGAGCACATTTATCTCTGCCTAACCCTTCCTTCTATGGCTTGATTTGCCTTCTCTTTGCAGGAGAGAGTTCATTTGAAACAATGGTCCCCTTGCACCCGGTGCCAGGCTCTCCTTTAGAACCTCTTCGGTCAGGTGTAAAGGTAATCAGAGTTAATCTCAACTTTCAGCCTGTTGTTCAGTCTACCAACTCTGTTTGTTATAAAGATTCGATTCAGTTGAATCCAGTTCACCAAGTGTATTCTTTTCACAGGCACACAGAGTGTTAAGTTCTGGGAAACAAAGATAAATAAATCTGGAGTCCTACTTCAGGTGTCCATAATCTCCATGTCATGGGTTATAATCAGTGTGATTAAATAGTGGAGTGGGGCACGTGGGCACAGAGTAGTTATTGGTTACTTTGCCCAGGGGTACTCAGAGAGAAAGCTTAACCATGGAAATGCCTCTTGAGCTATGTCCTGATGGATTAAGTTGAATAATACGTGAATGCACCTAACACACTTTCCGGCAAAGTAAGCCTGAATTGGTAGGCTCTGGTCATCTGGTTTGTCTTCTGGGCTGTGTTTTCCATTCTTCCTGAGAATCGGTAGCTTTCTGGGACATTACTTTTGCCACTCTGGTGAAAGTGCACTCGCTTTCAGCAGATACCAGAATTGCCTTCTGTTTTGCAAAAGTAAAAGAGAGAGAAGGGCCCAAATGGTCCAACTATTCTGAATGCAGTTCCCTGATTAACCATTGCTGTGAGTCCCTTCTTGTTGATTCTGACCTTGGAGCTGCCATAATCCACTCCTACATCTGCTGTGGTCCTCTCCCTCTCTTATTTTAGGCTGTGGTTGGTTTCTTCTAGGTTGTTTGTTTTTCTGTTTTAAGATCTGATTTAATTTGCCTGCTTGCTTGCTTGCTTTCTTTCTTTCTTTCTTTCTTTCTTTCTAGGATTCCTATAAATATGTAGTCCACTGATAGCACTGATAGCATTTCTTTTTTTCCAGGGATGTTGTAGCATTATTTTTTTTTATTGGATGTAAAGGTGTAATTTAGTATCTTTCTGTAATTCCATGTGACTTGTGCTAGAAAGAGGTATGTATCTGAGCTCAGTCTGCCTTCATGGTCCAGTCTCCCTTCTTACGCACTTAGATGTACTTATATTGATTTTCCTTACATATCTTTAGAAGAAAAATTAGTCAAATGGATTATTAGTCCTTAGGATGTTTGCTCATAGTATTCCTGTTTTTACTTGTTTTACACATTCAATGAAAAAATATATGACACTTAGTATCCACTCACTTGAGAATTCTCACTAATTTTATAGTTAAGCATCTACACTGGTTATTCTCAAGACTCAAAGAATAAAATGACATAAACCCGACATTGGAAAAGAGTTTCCAATTCATCTTCAAGTATTCCCTGTCTTGATTGAGTGATACAAGTTAGAAAACTTAGGGACATTTAACTTATCTTTCCAGAGACATATTGATCAGAGGTGTCACATTCTTCAATGCCTCTCTTTCTTAAAATCTTCTTCCCTTTGGTGTTCTCTTTTCCTGCTCCTGGACTGTACCTTCTCAGGTTCCTGCACCAGAACTCTTTCCTCTGCCTGTGTCTTATATGTGAAGGTTCTGGCCTTGGCTACCTTTTCTTCTTAGATTGTGGTCATACTCCTAGATTGCAGGGGAGAGTTTATTCATTATTTAACAGTCACCAGTATGAGTGCTTTCTTGGACCCTAAATAAAACCAATGCCCTGGGGCGCCTGGGTGGCTCAGTGGGTTAAAGCCGCTGCCTTCAGCTCGGGTCATGATCCCAGGGTCCTGGGATCGAGCCCCACATCGGGCTCTCTGCTCAGCAGGGGGCCTGCTTCCTCCTCTCTCTCTGCGTGCCTCTCTGCCTACTTGTGATCTCTGTCAAATAAATAAATAAATAAAATCTTAAAAAAAATAAAAAATAAAAATAAAACCAATGCCCAAATCTGCCTTTCAGCACACCCAGCCTTTTATATCTCCTTTTATTCCTACTCTTTATTGCCTTATAACCTCTCATTGGAATGTTACAAGTAGCCTTGTAACTGCCCTTAACCTCCCTCCAGTTTTGCCTTCTCACTGCTTGCCAGGGGACTTAAAAATATGATCACATCTCAACCCCTTTTCAGTACTATGTAGTTCATGAATTCCCCTCCTACTTACATGTTAAGGTCCCGATTCCTTAGCAGGCAAGCAACAGCTTTTATAATAAGAAGCTGCCACTTGTTTAGTATCATCACTCAGACTCCCTTTCTTATGCTTTATATTCTAAAATCCTGAACTACTTACACCTGAACAAAATACACCATGCTATTTTAATTCTCTTATATAAACTCTTCTTTTTTGTTCAGAAATTTGTTTTCCTTTCTCAACTTACCTAAATTGAAAACTTTTATTTGTTCATAAATTTAGGCATCACCATCCCTCCTCCCCAGGAATTATTCACTTCCTCTTTGGTGCTCCTTGGCTAGGGCATTTTATACAAGTCTCTATTATAGCATTTATCATAAATCATGGAATTACAATATGAATCCCATAATAAAAGAGGCCATGTCTCCTTTATCTTATATTCCTAATGTGGTGGTAAAGTGCCTGGCATATAATTAGCAGCCAACACACATTGTATTTTATTGATTTCTTATATGGAATGCTTCATGAATTTGTGTGTCATCCTTGTGCAGGAGACATGGTAATCTTTGTATTGTTCTACACCAACAATAAACATTTTAAAGTTTCTTTCTATTGTATCCTGTGTGAAAACATTGAATATATACATATATATCTATATCTATACCTATATCTGTATATATAGGTGTATATTCGTATATATTTGAAAAAATATTTTCTTATTGAAAAGTACATTTCCCGCCCTCACTGCCTGACAAGCCCAGACTTGTCAGGGTGTTGTTCAGCCAACTTCAGGGCCACATGGGGGCCAGTCTGTGATGTACTTTGAGGAGTTTCAGGGAGGGGTCTGCCCTGCCTGAACTTAACCTGATGGTTCAAGGGTCCCTGCGGCTAACATTTGTATTGTGTTTGCGAAGCTCAGGAGTCTCAAGATTGGGCTGTGCCAGGCAAGGAGAAAAATGAAAGATTTGGGTTTTTTCCAGAAAAAAATAAAATAAAAATAAAAAGCACATTAGCCAAATCAGAATTTCTATTGGAGACATAACTTGGAAATTTCTCATTAGTAGAATATGTAATTCTTTTTTTTCCATAAAGGTTATTTGAGAGAGAGAGAAAGAGAAAGTGGCAGGAGGACCAGAGGGAGAGGCAAAGAGAGAATCTCAAGCAGACTTCCCATTGAGTGTGGAACCCAAAGTAGGGCTTGATCTCAGAACACTGAGATCATGACTTGAGCAGAAACCCAGAGTCAGATACTCAACTGACTGAGCCACCCAGGTGCCCCAGTAGAATATATGATTCTTTAACAATAATATTAATTATTCTTATTAATGTTGATTTCTAAGCAAATAAAAATGAACAAATTATTTTTCTCATGTCTAATTAAAAAAAAAAAAACAAGAGCTGTCTTGATAGCCCTACTTGGGTATATCACTAACATTGAATCCTAGGTAGGTCTTCTAAAAAACTAATTTTTGAGCTTCTTCATGCTACCAACAAATACTTTCTCACCTATGAAAATGGAAATATATTAAAGGATATGATTTTCAAATATTTAGTAAAAAAAAACCCTAAAATTTTATTTTATTTGTTTACTTTAGATTTTATTTAAATTCAAATTAGTTAACATATGGTGTATTATTAATTTGAGGGGTAGAATTTAATGATTCATCAGTTGCATATAATACCCAGTGTTCATTACATCAAGTGCCCACCTTAATGCCCACCACCCATTACCCCATCCTCCCATCCATCTCCCCTCTAGCAACCCTCAGTTTTTTCCCTATAGTTAAGAGTCTCTTATGGTTTGCCTCCCTTTCTGTTTTTATCTTATTTTTCCTTCCCTTCCCCTGTGTTCATCTGTGTTGCTTTTTAAATTCCGTATGTGAGTGAAATCATATGGTATTTGTCTTTCGCTGACTTATTTCACTTAGCATAATATCTAGCTCCATCCATGTCATTGCAAATGGCAAGATTTCATTCTTTTTGGTGGCCAAATAATATTCCATTGTATATGTATATACCACATCTTCTTTATCCATTCATCAGTCGATGGACATCTGGGCTCTTTCCATACTTTGGCTATCGTGGACATTGCTGCTATAAACATTGGGGAGCAGGTGCCCCCTGAAATCCCTGTTTGTATCCTTGGGATAAATACCTAGGTGTGCAATGGCTGGGTCATAGGGTAGCTCTATTTTCAAATTTTTTTCCTTAAAGACTTTATTTGACAGAGAGAGACACAGCGAGAGAGGGAACACAAATGGGGTAAGGGGGGAGGGAGAAGCAAGCTTCCCACGGAGCAGGGAGGTGAGGCTGGGTCCCAGGACCCTGGGATCATGACCTGAGCCAAAGGCAGAGGCTCAATGACTAAACCACCCAGGCGCCTATTTTCAACTTCTTGAGGAACTTCCATGTAAGGACCTATTTAGCCAGAGTGCTTCCATCTGGTTAAACAATAACTTTGTTGTTTAAAAACTTAAACTGTCCCTGCCCCCCTTCCCCCAGGGGACTTACTTAAAAACAAGTCCTGGAAACCAGTCCCAGGTAACAAAGCCCAAATACAAGGGTGGGTCAGGACAGGTGGAGACATCCGATCAGTGGGGGGGAGGAGGCGCATACTGTCTCCCTAGTTACCAAGGAGTATGGGCTCCGCCCTTTGGGCACCTTTTGGGTGCCAATTCTGACCAAGGTGATAGGCTGGTTCAAATATCTACTAGGGTAAATTGTAATTTAATTGGTCACTTAAGTGTGACCTAACATGACTGTGCAGCTTTCTCTGCGTGTTACAATTTCATTGGCCACCTGTGCGTGGCCAGGCCCAACCACATAGCCTTTGCCCTTAAAAGCTAGTCTGTGAAGCAGAGAGAGGTCGTCCTCTCTGTAAGAGGCACGGCCCCGAAGGTTCGGTTTGATTCTTGATGCTTGGTGCGAAATAAAGCTTTGCTTGACCTTCCCTTTTTATCAGTCTGACTCCTTTAATCACGGACTCATTATTGGGGGACCTAACATTCCATACTGTTTTCCAGAGCACCAATACCAGTTTGCATTCCCGCTAACAGTGTAAAAGGGTTCCCCTTTCTCTGCCTCCTCACCAACATCTGTTTCCTGAGTTGTTAATTTTAGCCATTCTGACTAGTGTGAGGTGTTATCTATCATTGCGGTTTTGATTTTTATTTCCTGCTGCTGAGTGATGTTGGGCTTTTTTTCACGTGTCTTTTAGCCATTCGTATGTCTTCTTTGAAGAAATATCTATTCATACCTTCTGCCCATTTCTTGATTGGATTATTTGTTCTTTGGCTGTTGAATTTGATAAATTCTTTATAGATTTTGTGTACTAGCCCTTTATCTGATATGCCATTTACAAATGTCTTCTCCCATTCTATAGGGTGCCTTTTAGTTTTGTTAATTATTTCCTTTGCTCTGCAGAAGCTCTTTATTTTGATGCAGTCCCAATAGTTCATTTTTGCTTCTGTTTCTCTTGCTTCTGGAGATATTTCTAGTAAGAAGTTGCTGTGACCACGGTCAAAGAGGTTGCTGCCTGTGTTCTTCTGTAGGATTTTGCTGGATCTCCCTGTCTCACATTTAGAACATTCATCCATTTTGAATTTATTTCTTTGTATGGTATAAGAAGGTGGTCCAGTTTCATTCTTCTCTATGTAGTTGTCTAATTTTCCCAGACCGTTTGTTGAAGAGACTTTTTTCCATTGTATGGAAATGAAATTTCATAGCATACAATTTTCCATTGTATGGAAATATTCCTGCTTTGAAGAAGGTTAGTCGACCATATGGCCAAGGGTCCATTTCTGACTTCTCTATTCTGTTCCATTGATCTATGTGCCTGTTTTTGTGCCAGTGCCATACTGCCTTGATGACTAAAGCTTTATAATGTAGCTTGAAGTCCAGGACTATGATGTATCCAGCTTTTGTTTTCTTTTTCAACATAACTTTGTCTATTTGGGGTCTTTTCTGGTTCCATACAAATTTTAGGATTGTTTGTTCCAGGTCTGTGAAAAATGCTGGTGTTATTTTGATAGGGATTGCATTGAATGTGTGTTAGGTCCGTTATTAAATGAAACGAGACTGAGACAAAGTGGAAGTTATTTAAAGCTTTATTTTATGATAAGTATTAGAAGTTAGACTGATCATTCAGAGGAACGAGACTGAGACGAGGTGAAAGTTATGCAAAGCTCTATTCTATGCTAAGCATTAGAAGTCAGACTGACCAGCCAGGGCTGTCTCCAAAGAGAGCGACCACCCCCGGCTTACAGGTTCAAGAATTGACTGACTGACTGGTCAGGGCCGCCTCTGAAGAGAGCGACCCTTCCCCATCTTACAGACTATAGAGCAAAAGTCTGGCCACACATAGGTGGCCAATGAGATTGTAGTCATGTTAGGTCACATGCAGGTGGCCAATTGAATTACAATTTACCCTATAGTAGCTGTTTGACCTAACCTATTACTCTGGTCAGAATTGGTGCTCAAGGTTGGCGCCCAAACGGCGGGGTTTACATTCTTTGGTGGTTAGGGAAAAAGTATGTGTGTTTCTTACTGATTGGATATCTCCACCTGGCCCGACTTGTCCTTGTATTCTGGGCTCTGTTATCAAGAACTGGCTGACCTGGCCTTGTATTCTGGGCTCTGTTATTAGGAACTAGCTGACCATATTTTACTGGTTTCCCAGACTTGCTTCTAAGTAAGTTTCTCTGGGGGGAGGGGGACATGGTCAGTTTAAGTTTTACTGCACAAACAACAAAATGGCTTTTAACCAAGATGGAGTCGCTCTGGCTAAATAGGTCCTTACAATGTGTAGATTGCTTTAGCTAGTATAGACATTTTTCTATATATTTGTTCTTCCAATCCATGAGCATGGAATGTTTTTCTATTTCTTTGTGCCTTCCTCAGTTTCTTTCAGAAGCATTCTATAGTTTTCAGAATACAGACATTTTACCTCTTTGATTAGGTTTATTCCTAGGTATCTTATATAAAGTTTTTGGTGCAATTGTAAATGGGGTTGATTCCTTGATTTCTCTTTCTGCTGCTTCATTATTGGTGTATAGAAATGCAATAGACTTCTGTGTATTGTTTTTATATCCTGTGAGTTTGCTGAATTCCTGTATCAGTTCTAGCAAGTTTTAGGTGGAGTCTAATTTTAAAAAAGTACTATATTTAAATTACAAAAATCATCACAGAATATAAGGCAACCCAATGTCACTCATGTGAAACTACTATTAACTACTATTAACATTTCAGTATAGGATCTTCCAATCCCTCTTCTATATGTATTTGTATACATATGTGACCTCAGTAGTAGAGGGGAAAGACCTCTGCCTTAGGAATAAGATTCTTATCTCAGCTATAGTTCTAACTCATGGGACCCAGAGAAAGTTATTTGAATCCTCTATGTGGAAATAAACTTGACCTCCTTATCTTGAATAGTGATATGAGATACAAACAAGATAATGAAAAAAAGGGGAGGTAAGAAGGCCTCTGGCATTTTCAAAATGCTGCATAATTTTATTCTTTTTCAGCAGTGCAGTCTTGAAGTTAAAGTGTTTGTGGCAGAACCCTTACTGACCACAGCGCAGATCTTAGGAGGCAATCTACTGAAAGTCACATTGGAGGCTGCCTACTCTGTGCCTGAATCTTTTGTTCCAGTAGGGCCTATGCAAAACTACATGGTTGGTCTGCAAGTTCCATCAGCTGGAGAGGTAAAGCCCTACAGCCAGATATTTATATAGATTTAAACACTCATATGGTCATCGCTTCCTCACCTGCTAAGATTTCATTCAAAGCAACTTCTATTAATGGCTGAGATTTTTTTTAGGTTTAAAAAAAATAAAACTTACTTCTATTTTATATGTAGATATCTATAGTTTAACTATATATAATAATATATATTATATATAATTTATGTCAATAAATACATATTTATGGTGGAAATATATAAAACATTCTAAAATTGACTATTTTTAATGTTTTTATACATTACTTTTATGCATATATTTTGTGGATTTTGTACAGTGTACTTTATTATACAAAGCTTTCTCTTAATTTCAGGTTATTTTCTTAGTCCAAATTTTTTTTTTTTTTTAAGATTTATTTTAGAGAGGAGGAAAAAAAAGTGCAAGCATGTGGGAGTAGGGGCAGAGGGAATTGGAGAGAGAATTTCAAGTAGAGTCCCTGTTGATCGCAGAACCTGACAAGCACCACTGGATCCCATGACCCTGAGATTATGACCTGAGCCAAAATCAAGAGTCAGATGTTCAGCTGACTGAGCCACCCAGGCGCCCCCGTAGTCGAAATTTCTATGGAGTGATTGTGTTGGATTTTTTGAGGCTTTTGGTAGAGATTCCCAAATTGCTTGCTACAAAGGTATAATTAGTTAATACTGTCATCTGTTTTATTTCATCTACATTTCAGTGGGAACGCTTCAATTCCTCTTCACCATTTAATTCCCAACAGCAGTATAAAGACTCCTAGTTTCTCCATATCCTCGTCCACATTTATTATTTTTTGTTTTGATTTGTGATGATACCCATTCCAATAAGTGTGAAATGGCATCTCCTTTTGTTTCAGACTTGCATTTCCCTAATGACTGATGACGCTGAGCACCTTTTTCCACCCCTATATTGCCATTTGTATATTTTCTTTGGGGAAATGTTTATTCAAGTTCTTTGCCCATTTTTGAATCAGGTTGTTTTTTGTTGTTGAGTTTTAATAGTACTTTATATATTCTAGCTATTAATCCGTTTTTGTGATTTTGTTGCAGTAATTTTTGCTGCACAAAAATTTTTAATTTTAATGGAGCTCAGTTTTTCTATTCTTTCTTTTGTTGTCTTTGTCTTTGGTATCATAACCAAGAAATCATTGCTTAATCCAATGCCATGAAGTTTTCCCCCTGAGTTTCCTTCTAAGAGTTTTATAGTTTTAGTTCTTATGTTTAGGCCTTTGATCCTTTTTTTTTTTTAAGGTTTTATTTATTTATTTAACAGACGGAGATCACAAGTAGGCAGGCAGGGGGGTGGGGGAAGCAGGCTCCCTACTGAGCAGAGAGCCTGATGTGGGGCTTGATCCCAGGACTCTGGGATCATGCCTGAGCTGAAGGTAGAGGTTAACCCACTGAGCCAAAGGCACCACTGGCCTTTGATTCATTTTGAGTTAATTTTTGTATATGGTTTAAGGTAAGGGTACAACTTGATTTTTTGCATGTGGATAATTAGTTTTCTGCATCATTTATCAGAAAGACTGTCCTTTCTCCACTGAGTGGTTTTGGCATGCTTTATTTTTACAATTTTTGCCAACATTTTTTTTTTAAGACTTTATTTATTTATTTGACAGTGAGGGACACAGCAAGAGAGGGAACACAAGCATGGGGAGTAGGAGAGGGAAAAGCCAGCTTCCCACAGAGCGGGGAGCCCGACATGGGACTCAATCCCAGGATCCTGGGATCATGACCCAAGCTGAAGGCCAGATGCTTAAAGACTGAGCCACCCAGGCGCCCACCAATGTTCTTGTTTTTATGGAGGAGCAGATTTTCAGAGGTCTTTACCATTCCAGAATGCCTCTCCTTTACAAAAGTTTTTTAAGCTAATCCAAACCACTAGAATTGTTGAATTATATGTATGACTATTTTAAATTTACTGGAAACTGCAAAATTGCTTTCCATAGTTTCCAATTTATATTTCCATCAACTATGTAGAGAATACCATTTCCTTCACAATATTGCCAATGCTTGCTATTTTCAGACAGATTTTGCTAATCTGCAGTTTAAAATGATATCTCATTGTTTTAATGTTCATTGTAATTGTTATTAAGGATACCTAGCATGTTTTTATTTAAATGGTGGATTATGTAATTTTCTTTTCTATAATTTGCCTATTTATATCTTTATCAATTTCCTATTGCAAGTATATTTTAGATAAATTATATGTAGGAAAGTACCCATATTGTTAATCCTTTGTGAGATTTAAGTTTGTTTTTAAAAAGGTATATCACAGGGGCGCCTGGGTGGCTCAGTGGGTTAAAGCCTCTGCCTTCAGCTCAGGTCATGATCTCAGGGTCCTGGGTTCGAGCCCCTCATCAGGCTCTCTGCTCAGTGGGGAGCCTACTTCTGCCCCTCTCTCTCTGCCTGCCTCTCTGCCTACTTGTGATCTCTGTCTGTCAAATAAATAAATAAATAAATAAATCTTTTTTAAAAAGGCATATCATAACTCCCATATAGATATAAAATAACAAAGAGGATATTAACCAAAAAGGGCTCAAAGACCTCAATGTGAGACAGGAATCCATTAGAATCCTAGAGGAGAACATAGGCAGTAACCTCTTCGACATCAGCCACAGCAAATTCTTTCAAGATATGTCTCCAAAGGCAAAGGAAACAAAAGCAAAGATGAACTTTGGGACTTCATCACGATCAAAAGCTTCTGCACAGCAAAGGAAACAGTCAACAAAACAAAGAGGCAGCCCACAGAATGGGAGAAGATATTTGCAAATGACAGTACAGACAAAAGGTTGATATCCAGGATCTATAAAGAACTCCTCAAACTCAACACACACAAAACAGATAATCATATAAAAAAATGGGCAGAAGATATGAACAGACACTTGTCCAATGAAGACATACAAATGGCTATCAGACACATGAAAAAATGTTCGTCATCACTAGCCATCAGGGAGATTCAAATTAAAACCACATTGAGATACCACCTTACACCAGTTAGAATGGCCAAAATTAGCAAGACAGGAAACAACATGTGTTGGAGAGGATGTGGAGAAAGGGGAACCTTCTTACACTGTTAGTGGGAATGCAAGTTGGTGCAGCCACTTTGGAGAACAGTGTGGAGATTCCTCAAGAAATTAAAAATAGAGCTTCCCTATGACCCTGCAATTGCACTACTGGGTATTTACCCCAAAGATACAGATTTAGTGAAAAGAAGAGCCATCTGTACCCCAATGTTTATAGCAGCAATGGCCACGGTCACCAAACTGTGGAAAGAACCAACATGCCCTTCAACAGACAAATGGATAAGGAAGATGTGGTCCATATACACTATGGAGTATTATGCCTCCATCGGAAAGGATGAATACCCAACTTTTGTAACAACATAGACAGGACTGGAAGAGATTATGCTGAGTGAAATAAGTCAAGCAGAGAGAGTCAATTATCATATGGTTTCACTTATTTGCGGAGCATAACAAATAACATGGAGGACATGGGGAGATGGAGAGGAGAGGGGATTTGAGGGAAATTGGAAGGGGAGGTGAACCATGAGAGACTATGGACTCTGAAAAACAACCTGAGGGTTTTGAAGGGGTGGGGGATGGGAGGTTGGGGTAACCAGGTGGTGGGCATTAGGGAGGGCATGTATTGCATGGAGCACTGGGTGTGGTGCAAAAACAATGAATACTGTTACGCTGAAAAGAAATTAAAAAAAAAAAAAAAGGACAATCTGAAGAAATAACCCATATATAAGCAATCAGGAATGTTGAAATGAATTTGCTAATAATTCTAAACTCACCATCAGCCACTGGGCAATAATCAATTATACCACCACTGAACAAAATATATTTGCATATCTATGGACAACAATAATTTGCATTATTATCAATTTTTAATAAATTAAATATTTATAAAATAGCACAAAGACAATGAAGGGTACAGGCTCCTCTGTAGAATCAGATAATCACAGGAGGAAGGGTCTGTTAGACAACACCCAACACTACATTGAAAAGATACTTCAGTAATCTTTTTTGTTCATTTTGAAGCCTTTACAAAATTTCCTGATGTATGATAATTTATTCTGTAGAAAGACTATCCCATTTTGTTCAAGAATGGAACTCTGAAGCTTGGAGGGGAAAGAGAACCTGTTCCCAGGCCCAAAAAATGGCCAATTGCCAACATTCTGGCTCCAGGAGCTAATTACATTCCTGATAGTTTCATTGTTGGTGGGCCCTATGAGGAAGAAGAAGGAGAACTCAACCGCCCCGAGGTGAGAGAATTTTGCAATTTTTTGGTGATAAACTAAGTGCACAGACAGATGCCAAAACATTTTTTAAATCACTCTAATTTATGTATATTTTTTTTTGTTAAAACAGTTGTCTAATTCTGATGAAAATGTCTCCTGACTTCTTAAGTTCAACAAACAAAATAATTTTTTAAGTTCAAATTTACTCTTTATTTTAAATTTATTTATTTATTTTTAAACATTTTTAAAAACATTTTATTTATTTGATAGAGAGGGAGAGCATGAGCAGGGTAAGGGGAGGAGTAGAGGGAGAGGGACAAGGAGACTCCCCACTGAACAGGGAGCCCTACTCCATACTGGATCCGAGGACCCTTGGATCATGATGTGAGCCAAAGGCAAACGCTTAACCAGTGGAAACACCCAGGTGCCACAGATTTATTTATTTTTGAGTAGGTAATAATATGAACATTGGTCATGCATATAAAAGCAAATATATCTACTCAAAGGAAAAAAGGAAGACTCACAAACAAAAATATTTGGAAGAATGAAGTTTCCTTGCAAAGAGTGCAAAGGAGTAAGATTTCAGAAAGACTGACTTACAGACATTAGCATAGTAAAAGTCGGGGATAAAAACTGTTTTTCTTTAGGAAGTCTAGATTTATGGGAAGTATTCAAAATCCTATTATTTTCAGAACTAGAACCTGTCAGGAAGACACTATTTTTTTTTTTTAAATCTCAGTGTGTAAAGTGTTTATTTATTTGTTTATTTTTACTTTATTTTTAACTGTTTTTTTTTCACTAAGTATATAAAATGCTTAGTCATATTGAAAGCAGAGAAAAATGTCAGTTTTGCTTTATAAACACACACATATATATACATACATGTATTCTTTCCCTATTGTTTGTTTGTTTGTTTACTGAAATGATGACATACTTACGTTTTGCAAATTGCTTTTTAGTGTGTCTTGGTGATTTTTCCACAATGCTACGTAAAGAACATTCTTATTCTTTTTCTTTCTTTGCACTTGCTGTATGACATGACATTGTATATGGACATACTTAAATTCACTTACCAGTCTCCTATTGCTGGATGTTTAGGTTGTTGACATTATTCTTTTCTTTTTATTCTTCCCTCCCTCCTTCCTTCCTTCTCTCTTTCCTTCTTCCTTCCTTCCCTATTCTTTCTTCATTTCTTCTTTCATTCTTTCTTTCTACATCCTGTACTTGTTGAGAGCAGAGAAAATGCTGCAAGCATACTTGCAAATGTTTCTTGAATGAGTTAGTAATCATTAGTGGAAACATTCAATAAAATAATTTGTTAAATGAAGATGGTTGAATTATTTTAAGTATCTGACTAAATATTTTAAATAGTTGGGGGCACCTGGGTGGCTCAGTGGGTTAGGCCTCTGCCTTTGGCTCAGGTCATGATCTCAAGGTCCTGGGATCAAGCCCTGCATAAGGCTCTGTGCTGGGCAGGGAGCCTGCTTTCTCCTCTCTCTCTGCCTGCCTCTCTGCCCACTTGTGATCTCTCTCTGTCAAATAAATAAATAAAAATCTCTAAAAAAAAGTGTTGTGATCAAATCCATTAAGAGAATGCCCCAAAGATTGAGCAGGATGAAGTTATGGTACACTGAGAAAACAAGTTTCTTACTATTTTACAGGACAAGGAATTTAGGAATCAAGCAGAGAGCATAAAGAAAAGGATTATTTGGGACTTGGAAAGTCGCTGCTACCTTGATCCTCCTGCAGTGGTCAGGTAGGAAGAGGAAGGGAATATGTCTAAATACCAAAGATTGTAGGTGAGAAGAAATGTTACTTTTGTTAATTTTATCTATATTTGAGTTAAGGTAATCTGAGAATCTCTTCCATCATATTTGCTAATAACAGAGGCTTTTGGTGTCAGTGGCTTAACCAAGGTAGGTTCTGATTTCTTTTCATATAAAACAAATATATATTGTTGTTTATATAAACATATAAAAACAAATCCAGAGCTGGTATATATGGTAGCTTCACAGTGTTATCAGGTATCCAGGCTTCATCTTTCTTTTTGTTCCACCTTCTTTAACATGTGCCTTCCAACTACTTTCTTTAACATGTCCATCTTTTTTTTTAAATTTTTTTTTATAAACATATAATGTATTTTTATCCCCAGGGGTACAGGTCTGTGAATCGCTGGGTTTATACACTTTACAGCACTCACCATAGCACATACCCTCCCCAATGTCCATAACCCCACCACCCTCTCCCAACCCCCCTCCCTCCAGCAACCCTCAAGTTTGTTTTGTGAGATTAAGAGTCACTTATGGTTTGTCTCCCTCCCGATCCCATCTTGTTTCATTTATTCTTTTCCTACCTCCCAAGCCCCCCATGTTGCATCTCCACTTCCTCATATCAGGAAGATCATATGATAGTTGTCTTTCTCTGATTGACTTATTTCACTAAGCATGATACCCTGTAGTTCCAACCACGTCGTCGCAAATGGCAATATTTCATTTCTTTTGATGGCTGCATAGTATTCCATTGTGTATATATACCACATCTTCTTTATCCATTCATCTGTCGATGGACATCTAGGTTCGTTCCATAGTTTGGCTATTGTAGACATTGCTACTATAAACATTCGGGTGCACGTGCCCCTTCGGATCACTACGTTTGTGTCTTTAGGGTAAATACCCAGTAGTGCAATTGCTGGGTCATAGGGTAATTCTATTTTCAACATTTTGAGGAACCTCCATGCTGTTTTCCAGAGTGGTTGCACCAGCTTGCATTCCCACCAACAGTGCAGGAGGGTTCCCCTTTCTCCGCATCCTCGCCAGCATCTGTCATTTCCTGACTTGTTAATTTTAGCCATTCTGACTGGTGTGAGGTGATATCTCATTGTGGTTTTGATTTGTATTTCCCTGATGCCGAGTGATGTGAGCACTTTTTCATATGTCTGTTGGCCATCTGGATGTCTTCTTTGCAGAAATGTCTGTTCATGTCCTCTGCCCATTTCTTGATTGGATTATTTGTTCTTTGGGTGTTGAGTTTGCTAAGTTCTTTATAGATTTTGGACACTAGCCCTTTATCTGATATGTCATTTGCAAATATCTTCTCCCATTCTGTCAGTTGTCTTTTGGTTTTGTTAACTGTTTCCTTTGCTGTGCAAAAGCTTTTGATCTTGATGAAATCCCAATAGTTCATGTTTGCCCTTGCTTCCCTTGCCTTTGGCGATGTTCCTAGGAAGATGTTGCTGCGGCTGAGGTCAAAGAGGTTGCTGCCTGTGTTCTCCTCAAGGATGTTGATGGATTCCTTTCTCACATTGAGGTCCTTCATCCATTTTGAGTCTATTTTCGTGTGTGGTGTAAGGAAATGATCCAATTTCATTTTTCTGCATGTGGCTGTCCAATTTTCCCAACACCATTTGTTGAAGAGGCTGTCTTTTTTCCATTGGACATTCTTTCCTGCTTTGTCGAAGATTAGTTGACCATAGAGTTGAGGGTCTATTTCTGGGCTCTCTATTCTGTTCCATTGATCTATGTGTCTGTTTTTGTGCCAGTACCATGCTGTCTTGATGATGACAGCTTTGTAATAGAGCTTGAAGTCTGGAATTGTGATGCCACCAACTTTGGCTTTCTTTTTCAATATTCCTTTGGCTATTCTAGGTCTTTTCTGGTTCCATATAAATTTTAGGATTATTTGTTTCTTTGAAAAAAATGGATGGTACTTTGATAGGAATTGCATTAAATGTGTAGATTGCTTTAGGTAGCATAGACATTTTCACAATATTTGTTCTTCCAATCCAGGAGCATGGAACATTTTTCCATTTCTTTGTGTCTTCCTCAATTTCTTTCATGAGTACTTTATAGTTTTCTGTGTATAGATTCTTAGTCTCTTTGGTTAGGTTTATTCCTAGGTATCTTATAGTTTTGGGTGCAATTGTAAATGGGATTGACTCCTTAATTTCTCTTTCTTCTGTCTTGTTGGTGTGAAGAAATGCAACTGATTTCTGTGCATTGATTTTATATCCTGACACTTTACTAAATTCCTGTACAAGTTCTAGCAATTTTGGAGTGGAGTCTTTTGGGTTTTCCACATGTAGTATCATATCATCTGCAAAGAGTGATAGTTTGACTTCTTCTTGGCCGATTTGGATGCCTTTAATTTCTTTTTGTTGTCTGATTGCTGAGGCTAGGACTTCTAGTACTATGTTGAATAGCAGTGGTGATAATGGACATCCCTGCCATGTTCCTGACCTTAGCGGAAAAGCTTTCAGTTTTTCTCCATTGAGAATGATATTTGCGGTGGGTTTTTCATAGATGGCTTTGGTAATATTGAGGTATGTGCCCTCTATCCCTACACTTTGAAGGTTTTTGATCAGGAAGGGATGCTGTACTTTGTCAAATGCTTTTTCAGCATCTATTGAGAGTATCATATGGTTCTTGTTCTTTCTTTTATTAATGTGTTGTATCACATTGATTGATTTGCGGATGTTGAACCAAACTTGCAGCCCTGGAATAAATCCCACTTGGTCGTGGTAAAGAAACCTTTTAATGTACTGTTGAATCCTATTGACTAGTATTTTGGTGAGAATTTTCACATCTGTGTTCATCAAGGATATTGGTCTCTAATTCTCTTTGTTGATGGGATCCTTGTCTGGTTTTGGGATCAAGGTGATGCTGGCCTCATAAAATGAGTTTGGAAGTTTTCCTTCCATTTCTATTTTTTGGAACAGTTTCAGGAGAATAGGAATTAATTCTTCTTTAAATGTTTGGTAGAATTCCCCCGGGAAGCCGTCTGGCCCTGGGCTTTTGTTTGTTTGGAGATTTTTGATGACTGTTTCAATCTCCTTACTGGTTATGGGTCTGTTCAGGTTGTCTATTTCTTCCTGGTTCAGTTGTGGTAGTTTATATGTCTCTAGGAATGCATCCATTTCTTCCACACTGTCAAATTTGTTGGTGTAGAGTTTCTCATAGTATGTTCTTATAATTGTTTGTATTTCTTAGGTGTTGGTTGTGATCTCTCCTCTTTCATTCATGATTTTATTTATTTGGGTCCTTTCTCTTTTCTTTTTGATAAATCTGGCCAGGGGTTTATCAATCTTTATTAATTCTTTCAAAGAACCAGCTCTTAATTTCATTGATTTGTTCTATTGGTTTTTTATTTCTATTTCATTGATTTCTGCTCTGATCTTTATTATTTCTCTTGTCCTGCTGGGTTTAGGCTTTCTTTGTTGTTCTTTCTCCAGCTCCTTTAGGTGTAGGGTTAGGTTGTGTACCTGAGACCTTTCTTGTTTCTTGAGAAAGGCTTGTACCACTCTATATTTTCCTCTCAGGACTGCCTTTGTTGTGTCCCACAGATTTTGAACCGTTGTGTTTTCATTATCATTTGTTTCCATGAATTTTTTTCAATTCTTCTTTAATTTCCTGGTTGACCCATTCATTCTTTAGAAGGATGCTGTTTAGTCTCCATGTATTTGGGTTCTTTCCAAATTTCCTCTTGTGATTGAGTTCTAGCTTCAGAGCATTGTGGTCTGAAAATATGCAGGGAATGATCCCAATCTTTTGATACCGGTTGAGACCTGATTTAGGACCGAGGATGTGATCTATTCTGGAGAATGTTCCATGGGCACTAGAGAAGAATGTGTATTCTGTTGCTTTGGGATGAAATGTTCTGAATATATCTGTGATGTCCATCTGGTCCAGTGTGTCATTTAAGGCCTTTTTTTCTTGTTGATCTTTTGCTTGGATGATCTGTCCATTTCAGTGAGGGGAGTGTTAAAGTCCCCTACTATTATTGTATTATTGTTGATGTGTTTCTTTGATTTTGTTATTAATTGGCTTATATAGTTGGCTGCTCCCACATTAGGGGCATAGATATTTAAAATTGTTAGGTCTTTTGTTGGACCAACTCTTTGAGTATGATATAGTGTCCTTCCTCATCTCTTATTATAGTCTTTGGCTTAAAATCTAATTGATCTGATATAAGGATTGCCACCCCTGCTTTCTTCTGTGTCCATTAGCATGGTAAATTGTTTCCCCCTGCTCACTTTAAATCTGGAGGTGTTTTCGGGTTTAAAATGCGTTTCTTGTAGGCAATATATTGATGGGTTTTGTTTTTTTGTCCATTCTGATACCCTGTGTCTTTTGATTGGGGCATTTAGCCCATTAACATTCAGGGTAATTATTGAGAGATATGAATTTAGTGCCATTGTATTGTCTGTAAGGTGACTGTTACTGTATATTGTCTCTGTTCCTTTCTGATCTACTACTTTTAGGCTCTCTCTTTGCTTAGAGGACCCCTTTCAATATTTCCTGTAGAGCTGATTTGGTGTTTGCAAATTCTTTCAGTTTTTGTTTGTCCTGGAAGCTTTTAATCTCTCCATTTTCAATGACAGCCTAGCTGGATATAATATTCTTGGCTGCATGTTTTTCTCGTTTAGCGCTCTGAATTTATCATGCCAGTTCTTTCTGGCCTGCCAGGTCTCTGTGGATAAGTCTGCTGCCAATCTAATTTTTAAAAATATTTTATTTATTTATTTGACAGACAGAGATCACAAATAGGCAGAGAGGCAGGCAGCGAGAGAGAGGAGGAAGCAGGCTCCCCACTGAGCAGAGAGCCTGATGCGGGGCTCGATCCCAGGACCCTGGGATCATGACCTGAGCCGAAGGCAGAGGCTTTAACCCACTGAGCTACCCAGGCACCCCTGTCAATCTAATATTTTTACCATTGCATGTTACAGACTTCTTTTCCCGGGCTGATTTCAGGATTTTCTCT